AGGAGCCCAGGGATGTGTGTCTGTCCTGCCAAGTGCTGGAGAGCAGGACTGGGACTGGTGCTGCTGTGCCCCCAGCGATGCTCAGAGCATGCAGACCACAGAACCCACGCAGGATCTGTCCCTTGCTATCACTCAGCTCCAGTCCTGTTTGGCTCTGTTTAAGGCCTTGGAATGAGGGGTTAACCCAGCTCACAGCCAGCCCCAGCTGCTTTTTTTCTGGAGGAAAAGCAGATGTCGGAGCAGAGAGGCAGTGAGGGGGATGGATGGGGCCTGGGGCTAAGCTCCTGCAGCTGCGGCACCAGGCAATCAGGGCTGCAAATTGAGATCAGATGTGGGCAGCTTCCCTCTAAATAGTGCTCCAGGCTGCTGCCTTGGCTGGTTTTGCTCTGGCTTGAGGAGAAGGAGGAGGCAGAGGAGGGTTTCTGAGTGTTGCTGGGGCTCAGGGTGGCTGCAGGGACCCCCAGCGTGTGGTGCTCCCTCAGGAGAGCTGTATTTTCCTTGGGCAGCCCCACTGCCAGCCCCTGTGAGCTGTGCTTCCTTGTCTCTTTCCTTGCCTCCTTTCCCTGCCTGTGCCAGGCTGGAGGGGCCTCTTGCTGGACCAGGGATGATGCAGGAGCTGGTGGCTGGTGTGGAGAAGATCAGGCTTGACTTGGAGGAAGATGTGGAGCAGCAGAGAGGAGCTCAAGCTCTGCCTTTCCCAGGGGTGGACAGTAAGTTGGGGATCCTCAGAGGGTGACAGGGTGCAGGAGGTCTTGGGGTTCTCATCTTGCTGCACCCACCACAATGCCTGATTCTTCTTATTCTGGCTCCTGCCTGAGGCCAGGCTGACTCCAGGCATTGCTCCCTCAGGTATGGTGCTGGCACAGAGTAGTGGGAGGCTCCCAGTAGAGGGGTCTGACGTACTCTTGTCCCCAGTATCCCCATGGTCCCAGCACTGGGGACAGCAGGAGAAGCTCTCCCTGCCCTGCTTTTCCCCACAGAGTTGGGAGCAGCTGTCTGCAAGTTCTTCCACTGAGGGCTGTACACCAAGGGACAATGCTGGGAAGGGACAGGGATGGGGCTGCCACCACCTGCAAGATCCTGGGGACACCAGGATGCCAAATGAGCTCTACAACCAGCCCACATCTGTGGCAGATTGCCCCATGGCCCTGCAGCTGGTGGGATGGCAGGTTTGGGCCTGGAATGCTAACACAGCTCAGAGTCTATTACCCCTCAGCCCTTTTGGTGAGAAGAGGGAAGCATGGAAGGTGATGGACTCACTGTCCTGGAGCTGTTTCCAGAGAAACTGGACATGGCCCTTAGTGTCATGCCCTAGTGGACAAGGTGGTGATGGTCCCAGGTTGGGTTCAAGATGGGTCACAGGTGAGACTCAGTGATGGAGTGGCCCAATGGCCTAATGAATAAGGCATCAACCTCCATGCTGGTGACGCTGGAGAAGGGTCTAAGGGAATGGTCTGAAGTTGTCTCAGGGAGGGGTTTGGCTGGATCAGAGTAAGTGGCTCCTGGTGGTTGAGCACTGGAACAGCTTCCCAACTGGCTGTGACAGTGGGTGGCTGTGGGACAGGACCAGAGAGCTCTGTGAGAGACTGTGGACCTAGTTGACAAGGTGGTGCTGGTCACAGGTTGGGATCAAAATGGGTCCCAGCTGGGCTCAGTGACTGGGTGGCCTAATGGAGAAGGCATCAGTGTGTCTAGAGGTCCTGGGTTTAAGTCCCAGGTGTGCCATGCTGGACATGCTGGAGGAGAGCCTAAGGGAATGGTCTGAAGTTACCTCAGAAAATGGTTCTTCACCCTGAGTGTGGTTGAGCACTGTGACAGTGGGTGCCATGGCCTGGGGGTGACAGGGGCTGGCTGTGACAATGGCTGTGAGGACCAGGCTGGCAGTGACAGTGGTGCCACGTCCACCACAGGTGTGCCACGTCCCTCCCGACTCTCCACCGTGCCGAGGACAGTGCAGTGTAAGCACTGGCTCCGTGGGCTCTGCAGGAGAGGTGATGGCTGTGACTTCCTGCACGACCACGATGTGACCAGGATGCCTGAGTGCTACTTCTACTCCAAGTTTGGTAGGTGCAGGACCAGGCTGGGTACCCCAGGGACACTCCTACCCTAGCACTCATGTCCCTTGGGGCTGGCCTCGAGCAAGGACTGGATGCCACCTCCTGTCTGCAAGGAGAAGTGTCACTGTCACCCATCCATGCCTGGTGCTCCTAGGGCTCTCCAGCTCCTCCCATCCAGCCCATCCCTGAGTGATTCCTTGTGTTTGGCTTATCCCAGGTGAGTGCAACAACAAGGACTGTGCCTTCCTGCACGTTGATGCCACCACCAGCACCATGGGCTGTCCCTGGTATGACCGTGGCTTCTGCAGGCTTGGTGAGGTGCTGGGCTGGGGGTTAGGGTGGGCAGGGGCTGCTCATGTCCCACTGGGGATGGCAGGCTGCATCCCACTGCTGGCACCACCTCCTGCCTCCTCTGAGGTGGCCAAGACACAATGGGTGACTCACAGTGGCGTATCAGGAGTGGGACAGGAACTTGGTGGGGGTTTGGGTTTGGGGCAGCAAAGAGCTGAAGAGGAACGAGGCTGCTGGGAAAGCTCCCAGATCCTTGTGTGATGCCATGATTAATCCTTTCCTCCCTGTGGCAGGTCCCCTGTGCAAGTACAAGCACACACGGAGGGTGTTGTGTGCCAACTACCTGGTTGGCTTCTGCCCAGAAGGACCCAAGTGCAAATTTGTGCAGTATGTACTGGCCAGGCTGGCGGGTAGTACTGGGCAGACTGGGGGGCACTTGGCACACAGCTGGGGGACAGCTCCCTCTCTGAGGCTGCAGAGGTGGCCCTGGTCCTTGCAGGTTCTGGGGCAGAGACAAAGGGGCTTTGGGTCCTTGTCTGAACGACCTGAACCTCTCTGGTCTCTCCCCAACCTGTGGTGGTGCCTGCAGGGTTGGCAGTGGGTGGGCAGGGAACAGTCCACATGGAGGTGACTGTACCAGCCCCAGGACAGTCCTGAGAGGCTGTGTGAGCCACAGGAGACTCTGGGGGTGCCACAGGAGGCTCTGGGGGGTACCACAGGGAATAACTGCCTGTCCTGTGTCCCTCTCCAGCCTCAAGGCCGGGTTGATGACGAGCAGCACAGACCCATCCAAGGTGAACCTTTTCCTCTGTGCCCCTTGGGGTGATGCTTCAGCTGCCCCACAGCTCTTCCTTCCCTACCTTCCACCCCAGCTCCTGTGGGATGGTAGCTGCCAACTGCCCCTCCTGCCCCATTTTCCCACAGGGAGATGCCTGTCCACGGGGCCTGGTGCAGAGGGACCTGACTGCTGGCAAGGAGAGGGGAGGTGATGACATGCCACCCATGGAGCCAAGTCATAGGGTCACTCAGCACCTGGGAACACACCTGTGGGACACCAGTGACTGCCCCTCCCCAGCCCACAAAGCCTGCTGGAAGGAGGCACCTGCTTCTAGGTGAGGGTTTTGGGGAATGGGAGGGCTGGGAGCAATGGTTCCACCTTGGAGGGCGATGGTGAGGGGCAGCATGTAGTGTGGGGGCTCCCAGTGCTCCTGAAACAGCTGCCTTGACTGGGAAACATGTTTTCTCCGTGGGTTTTCTGGCCTTGGAGCCTGTCCCCTAGGAACTGGGGTGGGAACCAGTAGGGAATGAGCCTGTACTGGGCTTAAAATAACCCAGCTGCAAGGGAAGGGATTTGTGTGGTAATAAACCCTTGGGAGGCAGTGGGAGAGCTCTGGAGACCAACAAAATCCTCTGGGTTGGAGGTTTGGTGCAGTTGGAGGTCTTGGGGTGCTGCTTCCAGCTGGGAGTTGTGCTGGAATGTGGCACAGCTCCATGAGCCCATTCCATTGGAAATGATGAGGAAATGAACATGTGGAAACATGGGATGATCCAGCACAAATGCAATGCTTTCCTCTCCCTCTGCCCCCAGAAGACACAGGACAGTCCCTACACCAGTGAGTGTGGCAGGACTCAGCTAGAAATGCTTCTGGGGAAGTGATTCCATTGCTCCCACATGGATCATGGAAGGAGAACACGACAAACACAGTGGAACCAGTGAGATGCACCAGGATAACTGCTGGAAGGGGGAAAAGCTTGTTGGGTTTGTTCAACACCAGCTCAGTGTGCACAAGCAGCAAAGAAAACACTTAATGCAAGGAAAACTGGGACTTTCCACATCTGGCTGCTGCCTCTGGCACAGCTGGCTGTGTGCAGGCAGGGGCAGCAGCACTCCAGGTGCAGGAGAGGTACAGGCCTGGCTCATGTCAGGGTCCTGAGCATGAGGGTGAGGCGTGCTCATCCCTTGGGAAGGAGGGAATGAAACACTGAGTTGGAGAACACAGACCAAGCAG